CTCTGTGAACTGGCCGTTAACGTTACATTATTCTCGCCCAGCATCGTCTCGAAGTCTCGCTTGTTGGTCGCATCGCGCGCATCCAACATTGCCACAGTAACAGGAGCATTCAACTCCTTGTCGTTCACCCGAAACTGACCCACGACTGGGTCAGGTGCCCGCTCCTCGTCACATATCGAAAGCTCCATCTTCACCGCCGCAGCCCGGCTCTCAACAGCTTTTGTAACCTCAAGCAATGTCTGCCCAAAATCCTGGAAAACTGTTCGCTGCAGATAGTTTTCCCGCACCAACTGGTGCACCGCCTGGCCGACGAACTCCATCTGCTCCCCCTGCGAAAACTGATTCACCTCCAGGGGCATGTCCCCTCTAAATATCGCGTTAGCTAGGGGCAACAGCCCCGTCGCAAAGGTCACGGGGTCGGGGGTCTCATCCCTGAAGCCCGGGGCCGCCGAGAGCACCGCCCGCAGCGCCTCCCGCGCTGGCAAGGCCTCCGCCTGCTCGCTGAACGGGCGATCTCTCAACCCCTCCGGGATCGGATTGGTCCTGACCATGGCCGCCGCCTCCCGGATCTACCCTATGCCCCCCTTTTCAGAAAGAATTTCGCCGGCGGGCTGCTTCAGCAGCGCCGGCCAGATAAGAGCATAAGGAGCGAGTATCGACTGAGCTGCAATAATAAATAACAGCTCATTCTCTCTCTCTCCTCTGGGCGCTACTTTCCTGGCTAATCGAAGATTACCTGTACCAATTCGACTTAGAAATTCTGCTCCCACGTGGTTTGCTTCGCCTGCCCCCGCGCTGCCGCGCCCGCTGCGCGCCTTGCAACGCCGCGCGCAGCGCTGCAACGCAGCCGCAAAGACAGCGATCGAAGGCCTTGCAAGGCTCGACGATGCCGAAAGCGCGCGCGGCAAGGAAAAGCGACAATTTTCGCATCAAAAAGGGGCGAGGCGGCCATCGCGCGGGCTCGCTCGCGAAATGCTGGAACAAGAACGCCGAGCTGCACCGAGACAGTCAGCTAGAGAAGCATGACGAGCTCGAGGGCCTTCAAGGGCCGATCCGGCCCGCCGATGTGGACGAAAACAAGAAGAAAATCGTGCCCCTCGCCCGCAAATTTTTGCGCTCGTATGCCGAAAATTTTGCAACAGATGCACCTCCATCAGACCTGCTGAAGATGCGAGAAGGCATCGCAAGAGCCAAGGACATGCGCCTGCCGTCGTACTTCGCCGTGCCGATCTGCCTCAGCAAGCTCGGCCCGTCCGTTGGCGACATGGTCGAGCAGCTCGGGTCCGACGACATGCCCTACCGTCGCGACTCCGAGGCCATGGCGAACTTCATCGTGGACTGCGCTGCGGAGGTGCGCTGCCGGCACAAACACCGATACGCCTGCAACGACCAGGAGACGCTCGCATGGACCAAGCACTACAGCGCCGCCTACGGCTTCCTGGGCCCTTGTGCCTGCGGCGAACCGGGGTCTGACAAGCGAGATGCCTATTTGGAGAGCATGAGAGCACTCGCGAAGGATATCACGCTCCACGGCCTGCTGTCCAAACTGCAGGATGGGCAGGTGTGCCCTGCGGAAATCGCACAGATCCGCGAGAGGCTCGGTCGCATCTGGTCCTCGCCGTACGTAGGCCAGTGGGTGATCCGCTCGGTCCTCTGGTGCTCTGCGAGCGCCGAGGACGCGGTCCGGCTCATGGGCTGCTACGCGACGTCCAGCGCCCAGGTCCTGTGCACGAAGGCAGCGAACAAGCACATCTCCTTCGCCGAGGCCCGGGCCCTCTTCCCCACGTCCTCTCCCTTCTTGGTCGCCATGCACCTGTGCTTCGCCGAGGGCATGCAGAACGAGCTCACGAAGAACGGCCGCATCAAGACACCCGCGGCCGCAGCGACTTGGCTCACGAAGCGCCGCGTGCGAGCCCAGCTCGCTGCCATCCGCGACGCCGAGCGCAACGCGACCGGCCTGGAGCCCCGCCCCGACAAAATCGCCGCCATGTGGAACAAGCTCTAGTACCACCTAACTTTTTACTTCGTAATATATCCACGAAATATCTTACACGCAACAATACATGTAAATCTCGAAGGCAGCGCCACGTAATGGAGACGAAGCGCGAGTCGCTGCGGTGCGCCGGCGTCGCGCCACCCGCACACGACAACAACGCGGGCGTTCCGAAGCGCAAGCGTAACCGCGACGGAACTCCGAACCCCAAAAAACGCGGCAAGATCAAGCGCGATGCATGGGCAAGGTGCTCACGGTGCAAAGAAATGCGGCGCATACACTGCGCGGCTCTCTTGCAGTGCAAGGAATGCGCCAAGCAGGCGCGCGAGGAAGAAGCGGGAATACACCCCCGCGCAGTGACGCGCCCCGGAAACGCGTTTAACAAAATTGCCAGGCAACAGGCGAACGAAGCTAAACGAAATCAACTCCACAGGCCAAATGTGGCAGGCACCATAAGACCGACACGAACGCGCCAGGCCGCGCAAAAAGTCATCTACACCGTTGCCGCCTACGTCGGCGGAGGCATGCTGGATAAACCCTTCTCGCAAAAGCCCTACAAGCATGTCTTTGCCAGTGACAACAACATGAAATTCCAAAAATCGTGCCAACGCAACCTGCGGACGAAATTTTCACTCGTGGACATGGACGAGACAAGCGCACGCGAGTTCGTCAAGCTCGCAACGGTCGACATACCGAGCGGCGCCCATGTGCATTTCAACGCATGCATGTGCTGCAAGAACGCTTCTCCAAGCAGCGGCAGCTCGCCGGATTACGAGGACTACGATGAACAGATTAAAAAACTCGCAGAAATAGTAACGAACTTAGGCAAGAAGCACATCGTCACGTTCTTCGCCGAATTCGTCGTCAACCACCTGATTATTAAAAAATTTACACAGTGGTTCAAACAGGCACATATCCGCACCATCAAGCTAGCAGGTGAAGAAAAAAGGCACCGGGTTTTTGTCTCGGAAGGCTTCAGCATCGACAACATCGAGGCACATTTAGAAAACATGCAGGAGAAAGCAGGACCAACGGTCGAATCGATACTTGGGAAAGGCCACTTCAAAATGAACACAGGATCCAGAGCAAAATGGATTAGCACAAAAGAAAAAATAGGCACCTTGACGTGCACTGGCATGAAGTTCAAACATGCAAGATCAGGAAAAATAACACAGGTATCAAAGGAAAAGCTACTCCAGCTACGAGCCCAGGGCAGCAACCTAAAATTCAACCTGGACATGGTCTCTGAAAGCCTGGGCCGCACGATCGTCGGCCAGGGCGTCAACCTTGCCATAGCAAAGGCAGCAGCTAAGCTCTGCGCGCAGGCACACTTCAATCGCTGGCAGGAGCCCACTCCCACAAACTAGCCTAAACACTACTAGCAATCTGGGGACCACTACTAGTAGTGTGGAAGGCAGCACCAGCAGGGACACCTCCCCCCACGCGCATGCCTCCCACCGTACGTCCGAACACCACCCGACGCCGACACCCCACGACCACCCACGACGCAAAACGTAGCGCACCTCGAAGATGCCACCGTAAAAAACCAACATGCCCAGGTAGCGACAGCCAATCCGCACGCCAACCGTCGCACCGCGGCCTTACTCCCGCCGGCTCACACGTACGTCGCCGATGAAAGCAACACCCAGAAAGTCGACTTCCCACGCAAACACCGGGACCTACATCGCGTTTTGTCGCCTCGCGACAACAAAGGGCTGCTTTGCACCCGGAAGCCCCAAGCCGTACGCAGCAATGCAGACGCCACCACACGGCTTGGCGAACTTAAGCCTCGCTTACGTCAGCTAGCACGCGCTTCTCGATGCCTGCGCGCGTCTCTAAGATCACCGACGGTCCCGCACCGTCGGTGAGGACGAGGGACCACTGCCCCCCCTCCAGTGTCACCTTGTACGACCCGTCCTGCACGTCGAGCTCGTACCCTACCAGCGTGTTGTCGTCGAACGCAGGGGGGCTAGGAGCCGGAACCGCAAGAGGAGAAGAGTGAGGGGGGGAGGCGCATGCGGCATAGGCCACAGCTTGCTGATGCGAGACCGCGACGACCTTCGCCGATACTACGTAAATTCGCATAGTAGACATGGTGAAGTTGTAGGAGAACTTAATCGAAGTGCCCGGCACGCCCACGACGTTAATGTCGCCAAACTGAAGATGCACAGGGACTCCAACTGTGGGCCTCTGGCACCTATGAAATACATTGAAAGTAGGGTGCTGAAGGAAAGTGCGCAGAGCGTCGATGTGCTCCTTGTCGACAAACTTCGTCTCTTGCACGTAGCACGGCGTGTGCTGCAGCGTGACCACGAAGTTTGGAGAGGACACAAGCTGAACTTGACCCGTGGTTTTCACAACAACAGCAGTGCCCTTGGGCATGGACAGCCAAAGGGACCGCGGGAAGTGGGTTAGCTCAACCATACCAACAGCGAACTCCTACACGACAAGACGATCACCCCCCCAAAAAAACGAGACACCGGACCATACACCAGGTTTCTTGTGCTTCAGAATTCCCTGCACACCAGACAAAACCTGCCCCTTAAAAGCGGCCTCCATCTCGGGCGGCGTCTTCTCGACCGGCGGCATCTCTATAGATGACCTGCGGCGCTTACTCACGCCCGGGCAGTACTGCATGGGCTCATGGCACGAGACCCTGCTCCTAATGATGTTTGTATCTGTGACAGGGAGGGAGAAGGCAGGATCGCCCTCCCAGCTCCCCACAAAGCCCATTTTTGTGGACGGCGAATAACCATGAAGCCTGCATAGCATCAGCGCATTGTCGGCGCATGCGCCAAAATGCTCATCTGCCCATCCATTTTCGTTGAATGCTAAGGCCACCTGCAATACCCAGCAGGGGCCATCAATGGGATCATTCCTATAGCGCGCCACGTCAACGAAAAACCCAAAATAGAGTGCAATTATTTTGAATTAAACGAGCCAATTTTTACGACCCTAAACACGCGCCGACGGACAGGACCCGGCCGCACAAAGTGCTGCAGGCATGCATGGGTGCCTGGCAACACAACGGCAGCTTGATACGTGTTCACCTTAAGCCGAACGCGCACACCAGCCGCCTCGCGCGTGACATCCATGACCGTGCCCACCAGACGCACCCGCCCTTCAATTCCGCGCGAAGAACGCCATTCCACTGGAAGCAACGCAGCAGGAGCAAGCACTAGATCACCCTCCGCAATTGCGCCGCTCTGCATGAACGAGACAAGCGCATGCGCGCCCGCCATAACGTGCAGAGCTCCAATTATCTGAAAAGTCGCAGGAATAGGGTAAGGTTAGGGTCCGTATGTGGTGATACTGAAAGTATCATTGGTGATACGGGGAAGTATCATGCTTATATAAATCGGTATCTAACTATCCGTTAGAAGACCAGACCCGAATAGGGTACTGGAAGAGGCTGCCCCGACGCGAACTAAGTTGCTCGCCTTCGACCGAACAAATCCTCCGCGCCTTGCACTCCAGCACCAAGGAATACTGATATGTAACAGAAAATTTTGAAGATTACTGATAATTAATGTTATGTTTTAGTTTTTCCGCGAGACCGAGATATTATTAACTTTTTTGTCAAATTTGTTTGTTTCTCACGAATATCAGGAAAACTTGTTTGACTGATATTTGAGAGATACGGACGACATTTTACAAAAAAGGCTAATAATATCCTATCATCTCGTTCATCCCGATGCTCGAAATAGCCCGCTCCACCGCAGCCGCTTTGACGTCAAGGTTATAGGCGTCGCCGGCCACGGACTTAACTCCGCTTGCCAGCATTCTGATGTACTGATGCTGCTCTACCTCTCCGACAGCGCCGAAGAAACGCATAAGCATGGGAAACTGCCCAATAAGGAAGCGCCCTTTAAGATTGTTATGCTCCTCAAGCGTCCGGACCTTGCTCCGAGGCAACTCTGCACTGCGCAGTTGCTGCGACTGCCCGCCTGTCCATGCCACACAGATCATCCCATTGCGGTGGCCCATGACATTGACCTCGCACCACTTATCTTTGATATCTGCATACACCGTCTTTGCCAGCTCCAACCCCGGCGACGCCGGCGGATCGAAGACCCGCGGGCTGCCGCAAGCGCCTCTGTCAATTGCTGCTTCACTATGTCTGTAATACTGGCTGTTAACGTTACATTATTATCGCTCAGCATCGTCTCAAAGTCTCGCTTGTTGGCCGCATTATTATTGCTCAGCATCGTCTCGAAGTCTCGCTTGTTGGTCGCATCTCGCGCATCCAACATGCTCTGGACCTGTGCCACAGTGGCAGGAGCCCTGAGGGCTCTGTCATTCACCTGAAACAGACCCTCGACTGAGTCAGGTGCCCTTGCCTCGTCACAAATCGATAACTCGAAGTTCACATCCGCAGCCCGGCCCTGAACAGCCTGCGACAGCGCCGCCACAGCTGCTTCAAACTCAGGAAAATCAACCAGCGGCAGATAATTCTCACGCACCAACTGGTGCACCGCCCGACCGATGTAATCCATCTGCTGCCCTGGCGAGAACCCGCGCACTTGTAAGAGAGTGTCCCCACGAAAAATCTCCAAGGCTACCCTTTCCAGCACCCCTAGGAAGGCGCCGCTGTCGGGCGACTCCTCCGTGAAGCCCGCGGCTGCCGCGAAAAACGCCTCCAGCGCGACCCGCGCTGGTAAGGCCCGCGCCTGTCCACTAAACGGGCGCCCCTGCAGCACAGGTCTAAAGTTCCCCAGGGGCTCCAGGGCACTGGGAAGCCGATCCGATGGGCAGCGCCCGACTTTGGCAGCCGCGTTCGGCGTTTCGGTCCGCCGGGCGCCCCGGCGGCCTTCGAGCTCGCGCCGCGCCGGCGGGCGATCTTCGACGCGCCGCTCTCGATCTCGAGAGGCGAGCACGATTTCGGGGCGAACGGGGCCTCTGGATCCGGGCCATTTCGACGCGTCGAGGGGCGATATGTCGGTCCTGGTGCAACAAAAAGGGAGCGGCGCTAGGGCGATCGCACAGGGACCTTGTTACGATGGGATCGCACCAGCGCCGCTCCCTTTTTATGTCCATCATCGCGCGCGCGCGCGTGGCAGCCCCGGCGGTGCGCGTCGAGCGCTCCGAGTGGTCGTGGCGGTCAGCGCCGGGCCCAGACGACGATCTACGCGGCTGAGGCACTCGAGGGGTGTCTGAGAGGGCCTCGAAGCGGTCGCGGGTGTCCCCAATGCGCGTTTCTCGGGTCGTTGACCAGGTTTGAGCCGCGGCGCGCGTCGTGCTTGGCAGCCCGTCCACAGACATGTTGGACGGACCCCTGATGCGCTGGGGTCCAGCGGGAGGGTCGCCAGGGGGTGTTTTGGCGCCCACCATAATCACTGTTCATGACTACTCAGAGAGTCCAATCGATCAATGGTCTATCAGTTGACTCATGAACTGTGTTTAAGCACAGTTGATTCGACTGAGCGGAGGGGGAGGTCAAGCGGGGCCAGGGCGTGGTCTAAAAGGCCTGCCGTCGGCCCGGGGGGGGGGGCGGCGTCTCCCTCGGCTCTCCCCCACCGACGAGTGCGTCCGTAGATGGCACATGCGTCGGTGTTTTAAGTCGAGGCCCGCGCGAGGCGCGCGGGACTGGACAGCGCGCGCCAGGTCTTCGGCGAAGGCGTAGGTACGGCAGATGATGTCGCCGGGAAGGTCTGCTTGGGCTCGGCGTAGCCCACGCCGCAGAGGCTGGCGCCGTGGGTCTCGGACGAGCACGCGGTTGCCCTGAAAGCCCGCCGCGCGGCGGCGAGCGATTCGGGCGCCGCGGTGAGTCTCGAGCCAGCGCGCCTCCATGGAGCGCGGCACGGTCGTGCGCCCCCCTCGAACGCGGAAGTCGGCGGCCTCGCAGGTCCGAACCCAGAGATGCCAGGGGGTGCCGAACCAGCGTGCTCGCGCACGACCTGAAGTCGCCGCCGCCAACCGACACTGGATGGGACGGCCGGAATGCGCCACCGTCAAGCCGTGCACGGACAACGTCGCGCCGGGCTCCCAGACGAGCAGCGGGCCCGCCATGGTCGGGCCGGGGGGGCAGCGACGACGGCGGCGCGTCATGCTTCACGAGCGGCTGGGCTGCTCCCTGGTGTACTATTTTTTAGACCTGTGCAGCTCCGGCGGGACTGGGTTGGACACAACCATGGCCGCCGCTGCTCCAACCCACCCTATGCCCCCTCCTCAGAAAGAATTTCGCCGGCGGGCTGCTTCAGCAGCGCCGGCCAGATAGGAGCATAAGGAGCGAGTATCGACTGAGCTGCAATAATTGCATTTACGGCAGTACAATATGTTTCCGGTAACGAGTTAGTGAGTTTAGACCATCATAAAACTGCTGGTTGTGGTGGTCCTCTCCCAGCTCGCCGCTTCCCCGGGGTCCGGGGTGGCGCGGCTTATATTTTTTGGGTCATGGTTTTTACTGGCGACCAGGAGTTGGGATAGGCCCTGAAATCCTGTAGGCTGTCGTGCCTTTCCTGTTCCGTAGTTCAGGGTCATCTGTTTTGAACCTGCCGTAAGAATCGCAAAGTGTGGCTCTTATCTACACATCACTTTGTGCGGGGCGCAGGAATGTACTAGAGTGGGGACTTTGAGATTGAACTCAGCCCCATGAGGACATGAGACTGCAGTGATAAGGAAAATGGGAGAATAAGGACAGTAGGGCAGATACAGGAGAATCTTCCTCCTGAGAACCATCCCTAGAGACAGAAGATATATCTCGTACTCGAGTACGAGTATCGTCTGTCGCTGACATCCTCTTCTATTATTGTGCGCCGGAGCGCACCCCATGCAAATCTTCTCCTATCCAGCCGGCCCTACTCTTTTCCTGGGGGTCCTAGACTAGGCTAGTCCCCGAGCTGGGTGGAGCCCATGTTGAAAGGCAACACCCAGCTTCTAATACAACTATATCATTCTATATCTTGTATCTTTCCTTAATATAACAGAGACCACGGATGGATCAAGATTGGTTGATCGGTTCCTAATATTATCGGTCAACCTCAACTCATCAACCACCGTATCGATTCTGATCATGCGAAGCTGCTCGTTGTGCATGTTTGTGGCTCGTAGCTAGAAGCCCGGCCCGGCCTCACGGGAGTCTGAGCAGAGCTACAAGCGTTACCCATCCCACACAAAGATATCTTTCATTATAATTGTCGATGTTCATTATGAATTGTGCGCGTGATTATGCATATCGATGTTACGCTCGTAGAAGGCGAAGGCACGAGCCGATCTCGGCTGATGGCATCGATCTTGGAAACGTCATTTTCGTCGATGAATCAAGAGGGGAGCCAGATCCTGACACTAATGAGAATGAAGTCGAAATTTTGTGCACTTTCCCTCAAGAAATATATCGCCTACCACAGTTCTTTTTCCGGCTTGTAGATGACACAACCGCACCCCTGAGAAAGTTATATGAGGGAATATTTGCTTCTGTAGAGCAACAGAGTCGAGATACAACAATAGCACTTATGAATCTGAAGAGCTCAACTACCAAGCACTTGATTAAAAGGGGCTTAGCCAGTCAGAATGTACAGATTGAATGGATCAAGAGCAACGGAAAATATATTATTAGGAGAACTGTCACTATTTTGCTCCAATGCTCCTGGAGAGCAGCGTCAATAGCTGAATTCTGCCATAGCAAAGGAGAGTCATAGGTCGATCTCGCCTCGGGCGCCTTCAGGTTTCGGGATCATTTCGAGCCTAAAGATGACATCTGGAGCTTGGTTGTCAAGGAGAGAGACCGTCCTGCTCACGCTGAGACGCATATATGCTGCGACACGAAACGGCACCTTGTCATCGAGCGAAGTTATATGTTGTGTAGCTAATTATTGCGAGGTCATGTCAATGAGATTCTATTGTTTCAGGTCGCAGTCTCAAAGCTGGATTTAGTTGCATATCCTATACTTGGTTCGTCGACGAAGGAACCATGATACAAACTGGGGAAGTTGTGACTGCAGATGGGAAGGTGGCGAAGACGTACACGAAGACTAAGAGAGTAGAATCACTCGTTCAGGCTCACCGGATGAAGCGAGTGTCGACCGTTTATTCAGGTTCGGCACCAGGGGGGAATTGAAGGCAGTAGATTCACAAAGACAGGGATTTCCCGAACACCGCCAATGCCGCTACAGCGGCAGCTTCGGCCAACTAAACGGCTGGCTTAACGAGGGGGCGATATTCTCGGAATAACGGGTGAGAACATTATGATCTTAATTGCCCTTACGGCCCGACCTCAATGAACTGAATGATGCTATTGGTAAGGAAGTCTGTTCCGGTATTGAATTTGAATGGGCTGATGAAATTGTTGAAGCCTATAAGCCTCTAACTGAATCGTGCCCACTCTGCGGTGAACTACCATCTGGCTTGGGTGAAGTCTGTCACGCAGGTTGTGAGAATACACTTTGAATAGACGTTTTCCTTATCAAAAATCTTTTTGAAGGGCAACTTTGATAATAATTTTAGTTGAAATTTTTAACAAACCCATTCAGCACTTACAGTAACAATCAGCCAGCGTTGTCTTGTAATGTTTCCACTTTTGTTTTAAGGGCGCTCGTCGACTTCAGTTGGAAAGGCATATTTAAAAAATGCTGTGATGTTTCCATTGTAGTGCCCTTCTTTTTATCGTTAGCACGGTAAAAAAAAGTCAAGGCGCACGCCTGGCCGACACCGTCCTTCGCGAACGCCCGCCGGTGGGGCGGACGCTCGCGCCGGTCCTGGGGCCACGCGATACCATTAGCAATTGCTTCGTAAGCCTCTCGGGTAGCTCCCTTGGCGAAAAAAGATTGATTGGCTCTACGCCCTCGTGTCTGTGTCAAACAAGATGTGCAGGTATTGCGCTGCAGATCTTTAGCTATTGTTATCATATTGTCAGTCCAACTTCCTCTTCACCATACTGAATAGGCAAATCAAACCCACAAGGGCACAGAAGGCTGCCGTGATAAATAACGTGAGCGCAAATACAGAGGTTAACATCATTTGAGTAAGCATCGCTGATGACTTAATCCAGACTCCAGAATTTGGGTGGGGAGTGGTATTCCACCAGGCAGTTTCAAGAATATGCTTCAATAGTATTCGTCCAGCGCCATCGGGAACTGACTCAATAGCTTCACGAAACAAAGCTGCAGAGAATCGATAGTTGGACTGACCGGGGTAGTCCAAGTCTGTATACATAATGTTCCACTGATTGTGCATGGGTAACAGTTCCACGTCACCAGGAGACCATGGACCCACGGCATCTGCTTGAAATTCGTGAAAGGCGATTGAAGTAAAGTGATCTCCTCGCTTAAACTGCCATGGTCTGCAGGTGATGTTGCCAACACCTAAAACGACAAAAGCCACTTGGTGATATGCAAAATGACTAAGAGCGTACTACCAAGGGACGCGGAGAGTTGCGATCAAATTTGTATCCACCATAATCAGGCACATCTTCCTTCAGGCCGCGCACCAACTCACAGATCAGACGAGGCTCGATGCCTGGAAGTACCAGCATTCGTGCTCTCAAAAATGTTTCAACCTCATCAAGGTCTGTGAAACCAAGATCATCGAGATCCACCGTCGTCGCCACCCGAGTATTCAGACATTTTCCTGGTTCGTTGTTTGACTCCGGCTTCTTATTTAGCCAAGGATTTGTCGAGGTGCATGTGGTTAGTTTGTAGTGCATCCACTCGCCTGCTTGATTTCGTGGCAGGGCCATGAGATCGAGCTCTAACTTTGTGGCAGCTACTAACCAAGTCTTTCTGATGAGTGTCATATGATCATGGTGCTTCATGCGTACTAGGGCGCCGGAAGTGGGCATGACACCTTCATAGTATGACAAAGTTTGCCTGTCGGTGGGAACCCAGTAGTAATTCTCGTACGTGGACTGATGACCTGCTGATATCAGCATATGATCTTCCACATAAACCATGAAACTCAAGGGTTTGAGGTCGGCAAGCTCAGAAGTCCAGCCGATACCAATCTCCAACCACCAAGTCAAAGCTGATGCATGTGGCTCTCTGGCATCATTCACCTCGCCTTCGAGGTCAAGCTCCATGTCAATCAGACGCGTGTAGCCATCCGGTGCACTCTCGGCAAAGCATCCGGAGACCTGATCTGTGATATCACACGGATCCCACTCCCCGTGTTGTTCTACGAAATAATTTGGAACATATTGGTCTACACTACCTGCTTTCAACTTCATGGCTTTGATGAACTCTGTGTATGACTCGACTTTTGAAGGCCACTGATAACGAAGATATGGCTTTTCCGGCACCAGGTGGATGTGATGGACATGGATGGGCGGATATTCCAAAACCTGATTATTTTCTACAGATATCCCGGCAACGTAATGTCCAGTAATACCGATCGTGCCTCTCTTAGTGAAGTCACTCATGTTCAAGGCATTATGCCCGGCGTATTGCCACCAGTCGTAACCTCCTTTGCTTGTTAGGGGGCCTATGCGAATGAATCTCCAATCGGCGCTACGATTGTTTGCACGTGTCACATCACAGATTCCACCTTGTATTGGGGTGCTCGAGAGATCCACTGCTTTGAGCCTTCTGCCCCAGAAGGAGTCCTTTGGATACTTGTGATAGTTGTAGGGGGTGTAATCAGTCCCTTCAAACCGGTCATATTTTTCTGTAGTTTCAAAATGATTCATGATAAATGTAGGGAACATTTGTTTCAAATCACCGTATTTCCAGTTACAGGCGGCATGGAGGTCATGAATGTCATCCACATACAGAGAAGAATAAGCCCCCGTGGGCATTCCATAATTACCAAAACGATTTAAGGCTCTACAGAACGATCGTAACGAAAGTGCAGCCAGGGAAATCCATTGGATTTTCATTAATTGTGTGTGGCTTCTAGAACTTGAGACGGGAATGGGCCCTCCCGACAGTAAGTCAATGGAAACGAGTGTACCGGGTCCTGAAGATCAACATGATCCGCCAATTGCGCGCAAGGGGCCACGTTGATACAGGAGGACGTCTGCCGGGGGCGCCGCGCCCATTTCGAGAACATTCACCTCAGGTTGTACATGTAAGGTCCAACGCCTGTGCGGCAGCCCCTCGGCCGAGTCCAGAGCCGTGCACGATGTGACACATGTCCTAGGAATAACATAGCTTCCTAGTCAATGGTAATGTTTGAATTACCCTAGAATCTCCTGCTACACTCGGGCGAGAGAGAATGACCAGGTGCTCGGGTGTGATGCCGAGCTGGACTGGGTCAGAGGAGCAGCTCCGCCTGATATGTCTCGTCATAGTCAGGTAAGCTCTCCTCGTCTTCCGAATCTCCAAACGGGTCCTTGCCAGCCTCCATGTCAAACTCTACTCCGGCTTGAATACACCGGACTTCCTGGGCGCGTAACTTGAACCCTGTCCGGGCGGCTTGGGCGCGAGATAAGGGAGGCAGGCTTCTTGTCATGTTAGTCACCTGTTCCATAGGTAGCTCATCGACAATTTTCTCATACCGGAACGCCTGGTGTGGCGGGAGACTGGCCTAAGGTAACTCATATATAACTAACTTAGCTTGAAGTTGGCAGCGCAGTGGTCTTGTATCTACAAAGGGTGGGTGAACGTAAACACTTGTACTCCAACATCATGTCTATACAGCTTCAAGCAAGAAAATTTGAAGACGAGCTGCAATTGGACCACCAGAGAAGATTGTATGCCAAGTACTTTCTTGAGAAAACCAGCATCAATGTAGGAAGCGCATCATGCGAATGGAAACCCGGTGTGAAGAATTATAAAGTGTCTCCACGGGAAAGTAAGGCCCCACCAGTAGCAACGCGGAGTTTTCGATTACAAAAACAGAACCACATTTGAAAGGGACTCCCTACCGGAAGTCGCCAACACTTGGGTTTCTGACGACATCCACATGGCTAAGACCTTGGCCAGAGAGGATGTCTCTACGTCAATGAAAGTAATCGAGAAAACAATGAAGCAGCAAGGAATGCTGCAGCCACCCACAAAGAGGATGTTCACATCTCTCACCTGGGTGCCAGCTAAATTTTCCAGGAATGACAGGGATATTGTAGCCGCTGGGCTATGGGATTCTTGTTGTAACCGAGCTTTTATAGACGAGCACTTTTTTAAGACATTGTGCGCGCGTGAGCTCACGTATGGGATCCAGCAATATAAGGACAAACCTGACATAAATGGCAGTTGCGGGGGTAAACAGAAAATCTGGGGCTGGACAGCGGTCTACTTTTCCTTGGGCGGGACGTGGATGTGGTACGTGTTCGAAGTGGTCCCTAACTTAGGTGTACCGTTCATGCTCGGATGCCGGTTCATGGAACTCATAGGATCAATTACCGACCATGGCTTAGGTGTGATCCTAGCCCGGAACTCAAAAATGCAGATCCAACCTAGCCCAGACGTGGAATGTATGCCCAAAGTTACCATGATAAAAACAGGCAACGCGATCAGTAAGGCTGAGATCCTCTGCAGATTTTACTTCACAGAA